ACTCTGCCACAGACATGCGATCACGGTCAAACTGGAATAAGTCGTTCATCTTAAAGTAGCAAAATTATAGCAGCCTTAGTTTGGACATAACCTGTTCATCTTCTTTGATTTCTCCAAGTATTTTCGCCAATTCATATCCTATTGCATTAATATGAACATGTTTGAGCCGAAGGAATAGTTCATCGTTGAGATGTATCTCTTTGAGAGCGAATGGATCAGTATTTTCATTATTTTCGAATTCTCCCAGTGGTACCTGAATATGTATTAATACTAATGTAAGATATCCTTTCGTATGTCGATTCTTCACTCTTTCAACTTCTGAGGAAATAATTTCTATAGTTACGCCATTCAGTTTATGTTGTTTCTAACAACAGCAATAAAATTTTGAACTCTTGGTAGCACTGATGCATGAAGGAGTATTCCATTAAGTAAGTGGACGCACAAAAAAGAGTGCGTGGCCGGTTTGCTTGTAACAAGGATCGACCACTTTTGGTTGGAAGATGAGGAGTTTTACGGAGAAATAAGGGGGTTCGCGTCCTTATCCTATCTGTTTTGGTATTTCTAGTTGCTAAAATAGCTAGTCAAAAACATTTTTATGATTTCCTATTTCAAACATAGAAGATTGACGGATCAGTAGGATAACCATAAAACGCGCATGGCTTTAGTGCACGTATGCCAAATCCGGAAGCATTACGAAAAAAACTCAAAACATTGAAATACAATCATCAAGTGCTCAACCAAATAAACTGAACATGCCAATTTTTCATTCCACACTGAAAATTTTTAAAGTCAACTTCAATCTAATTTTTAAACATTATGATTAATTAAACCGTTTGAAATTGAGAACAAAGTTCGATATTTCATGTTTTTCAATAATTTCTAGTCACAAGGGCATGCGCGAGATCCGACAGTGCATAATACAATGATTATAAAAAGATGCAAGAAAATTATAACTTGCATTCTTATTTTTCAAAATTTTTTAGCTACTTAAGCAAATTAATCGAGCTTTTTTGTGAATATGCGTTTTTGAGTGATGTGAGAAACATAAATCTGGCGTTTGGATATGTAAACATATAAATTATTCGAAGACACAAAAAGTTGTGCCTACGTGTTCTTCTAAATAGAGATCTATTTTTGAAGTAAATTTCGCAATCTATTCAACTGCATATCCAAATGAAAACGTGCATTTTCATTAGCTTGGTGCTCCGTAAATTAGTTGTTCTTTTAACTACTGACTTCCTCTCGCTTATTTTATGGTCAGTTACTGCTAGGTATAGACATGACGAAATTCGAATGAAGCAGTAGCAGCAATGCACACCTTACGCTCTAATTAGAATCGCACTTGATTCTTTTCCATGCTGAATGAGTCTTAATTATGAACTCAACAGGAGTTGTCTCACCTTAATTGAACCAACCATGCCTATACCAAACATTTCATCCAGGATGCCAGCATACGTAAGTTGATGCAATAGCGGAGTAAGAGGATCCACCCAACGGTCAATTATCAC